CCAGACTCTTTCTGGCCTCTCTGACTGATGATAGAAGGCAGCAAGTACTGAGTCTTGCATAATGAAATTGAAGTGATTATTTTAAATCAATCGTACTTGTATTGTTGTTGAATTCACTTGATGCAGGCATAGAAAGCAACATTGTAAAATGTAGTGGATGCCACCTAAGTGCACTCCCCTGTGCCATGTAGGCTGGTATCAAAATAATTTTGCATAGAGGAAGAGAGGAGGTGTTGTCCAAGGAATTTTGCTGGAGTAAAATCCTCTTTTCAGATACAAGTCGCTTCCTTGTATGTTCATGTCTGTGTCATAAACACATGTGATGCCTCTTCAGAAGATCTTGTTCAAAATAAGAATAAGAGGTACTCTCTGGTGGTTTCCATCTGAAGTATTTAATGGCTAGCTGCTTGCTCCACAGATACACTTACACTGTCTTCTCAGAATCAAAGGAAAATGGCCCAAATGTGAATCTGCAGCATCTGAAATGCTCCTTAAAGGAATGACCAAAAGGTATTTGCAATAAACATGTGCATCTCCACCCCAAAGACAAAATATCTCCTGTAACTTCTGTCTTTATATCTGTGTTAAATCCTTAGGAACAAATTCAGGTGGAGCAGTCACAGCTGAGAATCACTTACTTGCCCTCTCACACAAGTCCTTTCCAGCTTCTGAAAGAATATTCCCTGGAAATGTTCCAGTATTAAAATTTAAAGTAAGAATCCATTTTCATTAAAAACATCTGCAAAACTATCAAAGGAAAGAGGGTAGGCTATCCAGCTCACCTTGCCCAATGCGTGTATAGGTGTATATACCAGCAGGTATATACACCTATACACATTTATATTATCCCAGATGTTTCACAGCCGATAAAAGACTCTCTGACACTACATTCTCATACCCACATTGTTTTTAAGATCCATACATGAGACAGCACTTCACAATTTATTAAATTATTCCAGAGTCAGTGCATGTTACCCACTAAATGGTTCCCTGATGTTCAAACTGTTTTCCTCATCTCAAAACAATGTCATCATTGCCATTCCCAAAACATGTTCCTAAATATCTCTCCTTCTCCTGCTCATGACCACCATCAGGTTTTTTGGCTGGCATTTTCTTTCTTAACCATTACCTGTCCACATCACACAAGAAGGCTTTGGCATGCACTATCTTTTAAAGACCTGGCATCTTTATAGCAGGCAAGAATAGCAATCTCAACATTTTCTCATTCATGCAGTGAATACCTCATAGAACTAAGCACTGAATGCTCACAGCACCTGTGACAGTGAGTCCTTGTCAGCACTGAGAGAACTTTATGGCTTATTCACTGGTGTCTACTACACCACCTACTTAAAATAAAAAATCATGAATTTGCAGTTTGTCCCATTGGACTTTTAGAAGCAGAAATGTGTCCCTAAGATTATAATTTCAAAAATATTACAACTTTCAAGGTCTTGTATCATGTTGGGTTTTTTGCATGTTTCATTAGTTCTTCCACAATTCAATGATAATTTCAAAGACAACCATAAAGCACACATTAAGCAAATTCATGTGTGAATTTACCCAAAGCCTAAAGAGCCATATATTGCCTCTTTTTAGCAATCACATTTCCACATTAATAATGTCAAATTGCCAGAGATCATCGTATATGTACTACTTACTTGGATTTTTGAAGATTAGAGAGACTGTGTAACTGATGACAGAACATTCCACAGTTTCTTTAAAGCTCTGAGCAGTAACAAGGAGAGTAAAAAGGAAGATGTAATTTTCCTCTGCTATCATGCACTTTCAAGTGCACATTTATATGCACATGATTTTGCATCTATGTATTAATCAAGGCAAGCAGGAGAAAAGATATCATTCTGATCTAAACTGGCCAGCTGCAAACACTAGTTTCCCTGACATGACATTCAGATAATTGTATATCTGACTGCAATAGGTTTCAGGGAGGAATAAGGGCTGCTTTCAATACTCCACAATTACCTTATGTACCACTTTGTCACCTTCTGATAATCCAGGACTACAGAAATGTATGACTAATGGGGGACTTCATTTTACTGCAGGAGAAGAGTATCTTTGTACCATCTTTGGGATGACAGTGGGAGCGGTCATCATTTACACACCCTGTACGTAACAAGAAGGGTAAACATTCAAAGTACATGCTAGAGGTGTTAAAAAAATTATACAGATGTCACATTAGAAAATAATTACTCAGTATTAACAAATTAAGCAATTTAACAAACATACTACCAGATGTGTAGCTGGGGATTTTCCCTGGGTATTGCCTTTCACTTTGTTTTCCTTCTTTTTGTATATTTCCACAAGCTGCAAAATCTACAAGACCTCATCCTGCCAGTCAAAGAACCGCAAGCAGCTCAAGTCCAATTCTAGCTGCACAAAGGACTTGAACTCAATAACCTCCACAGACAAGGTGTACCAGGGATGACAAGTGTCATTTTTCTATCCCAAGGTGTTGGATTTCAGACTCTGAAAAACTCAACTTTGACTTGGTAATTTTTGGCCTGACACTAATTTTAAGGAAGTCTTTGGTATAAGAAAACCAAACAGAAACGCCCAAACCCAAAACCAAACAAAAATATCCCCCCATATATATATATATATATACATAACATTCATAATAATATTATTAATATGCAAGCATTTTATTTTCATGTTTCTATGTACCACGCCTGTAAAACACCTATTCTTCAAAACTCTACAATATTCTTTAAGTCATTTGTGAGAGAGATCACACTAGGTAGAGGGGTGGGGGATTACATTTTTGCTTGGGACACTATTCTGATTATGACATATATGAAGGAGGGCTTGTACTTTCCAAAGACTATTGAGAAACTGCATTAAAACAACTCCACATGCCCTTGATATGTTTTGGAGATAAAATCTCGCTCCTCCTACTCACATGAAGTAATTGGGCTGCTTTACCATTCAAAAATCATCACTAAAGTGTTCGCCCATCTGTTAATACATGCAACCCTGCCCTCAGATTTGTTGCAACAGAATTTCAAATGCAATCCTCATCTCAAAAACCAGTAGCTCAAATCCTTTATCTCTGCCCCTCCCTGTGCTCCTGTGCTCTGTAGATCCAACAGCACATCTCTTTACTTTTGCAGGAGCACTCAGAGGTTGCCTGACCTTTCCAGGTTCATTCAACACTTCAGGTACTCTTCAAGGAGCTATTTCACTGCCCTAACCCCAACAGACCACAGGTGTGAGGAATACCAGCACCAGCCTGTGTCAGCTAATTACCCAATAATTAGGCAAAACACATAGCCCAGGACCTTTACAGGGAAATCTAGAGCCAATTCTGAACCAATTCAGTCTGAACCAATTCTCAGAATATCAGGAAGTCACCTCACATTACCAAATAATTAAGGGGCTAACTTCATCTGCAGTCAGCCTAAGAGATGTTTCGGCCCTAATAGAGACTGTAAAGATCCACAGCTAATTGTTTCCAGGATCATTCAGCAGAGCTTGTGTGACAGGTCACAAACAGGTGTTTACAAAAAAAAAAAAAAAACCCACACAAAATTGCTGACCTACCTGGATCTTAAATAGAACAATTGCATCAATGCTGAATCATTTTGGAAAATCCAGCTGATATGTCACTGAGCCTAAGCCTCACATCCTTAAAAAATACCACCAGTAATAATGAATGCATCTCCTTTGTTATTTTTTGATTAATAGCTGGCAAGCCATTCAAACAAATATCTTTGCCCCTGTCCTTTCATGCTGCCTTTCACCGTCACATCACAGGCAAGATTCTGAAGTACCACTGCAATGTGAACGTCCTCAACGGTCTTTAATAGAAGAAGCCTTTCCTTCCCCAAACAAGAAACAAAAGGAGTCAATTTTGAAGAAAATTCACAAGACCATTCAGTTTGGCTCTCCCAGCTAAAACATTAGTCTCATGCAGTGTTAGATGCTTGGAGCCAGATACCAACACAAACACCAGCATCTGAATGACTTGAGTCACAATACTGAGCTGCTAAACTACACCATTTAGGCAACCTAAGATTTTTCAGTGGCTTGCTAAATAGGCCCAGACTTCTGAAAACAGACTGTCTTTCCTCAGCTCATTCTAAGCCATTCTAATTTTCCAGATCAGCTGCCAAAAGCATACATCATCACCACACCTTGGGTGAGTAAAGCTGAAGGTCCAGCGCCAAGTGTTGCAACCACCAAAAACCAGTGGGTGGAATACACCAGGCACACATACACTGAACTGCTTATATTCATTCTTCCTGGAGCTCTAGTAATGAATCTTGAAAATCTTTAAAATACTGAAGAGATACTTTGCAAAAGAAAATAATCACGTTTTTAGACCTCCATTTCATTATTGTTTAAAAATAAATTCATGAGCGCAAATGAGCTGTCAGAGTGACATTTCCTTTTCTTCTTTACTCAGAGAAAACTATTTCAGTCTTACAAGTGACACATAACATCAAATTATCCTAACCAAGGGCAAGGAAAGAAGGTGAAAAACTGGATTTCTGCATAAGAAGGCTAGTGAAGCAGAAAGATCAGTATCTGAGGAAAAGGAAAGTTGTTGGACTTGACTGCTTTAGATCTATGAAAAGGAGACATGAAGGTTACTGCCAACAGTTTCCTCTTATGAAGGGAGACTTACTGGTTTGATTCATATTGCAGCAAATCTTGACAGACACTTGCTGGGGTTATCTCCTGTTAAATGAACTGATGCACAGAAAAGGACTGTCTTAGAGGTAACAACATATAATGTTATCTCCTGAGTTATCATTCCAGTCAGCTGCACCCTTGAAAGCAGAGCTCCCTTCCATTTTTCATTTTCCACTGTTGAAGTGACAGCTTTTCTTTCATCTTTCCTCAAATGTTCTTCACAAAGCTCATTGTTCACTCAATATTTGATTTCTCGGTATCAAAAGCAAGAGTAACTTCTTCCCCAGAACAACTCATTAGCTGAGCTGAGTCTGTAGAAGTTAATAAAACCCCCAAACTTCAATGACTTCAACTACAAAATTATTATTTTTAATAAGATTATGCATGGCTACTTAGTATTTGAACAGTAGCTATTTCTCTGCATGTATATTTTTGTATACAACAATCAGAAAATAAGACCTAGGAAAGACCAGTTAAATATACTTTTTTAAGAAACCATTTTTCTAAGACAAGTACAAGAATCTCATGAACACTACTGTCTGTTTTTTAGCTGGCAGAATAAAACTGTAGCAGCAGCTACACATCAGCCATCTCACTGTTGCAGAAGTCAAAGGAGTTGGTGTCACAAATTCTGTTGTCATCACAAACATCTGTGAGCTTGCAGCAGATGACTATTTATTAGTCCAGTTCCAAAACATTTGTGTATCTCCTTCTGATGTTTTGGGGTTTTTTTCTAAATACACTTTAAGAGTGTTTACTTGAATTAGGTGATGAATAGTTTTTAAGTTTCTTCTTTCGTTGCACTGCAGTTTGCAAAGCCTGGAGAATTAAGTGTTTGTTATTCAGGATGTTGTAGCTGCACAGGTTAAGCAGCTTGTTGAAATTCTCTTCAGTGTATGTAAGCAGGCCAGTGCCATAGGGAGCAGCACAGTTGGACACATCCACTCTTCCCTGCTCCATCTCTGCGGGACTGCGCTCCACATCTGAAACCAGAGCCAAGCACAGCAAAGGTATTGAGGTGGAAAACTGCTACCAGGCAGTGCAAACTACACAGTAACAGACAATAAAATCCACTAGTTCGCTACTTGGCTGAAGTCCAGACTTGACCAGCAGAAAAGCTTTTCCATGCAAAATGCTTTCCTCTCTAAAATAAGGTTTGACATCAGAATATTTAATTTTTTTAAGATTTAGAATTTTGTATGTTTAACTTTTCAGTTGAGTTCTGAGATGACAGCTCTTTATCTACCAGCTGGTAGAAAATAACACCAGAGGGTTCCTGGATTGGGAATCCTCCCTCTCAGGTGGCTGAGATTTTAAGCACATGCAGTAGAACAAGTAAGATAATGAACAGCATGAGGTCTTTTTCAATAAGCTGGTTCATGGATTTTTCTTCATTTTTTGAGTAAGGTTTCCTGGACCATAGAAGATTAGCAATAAAAAAATTGGAGTTGATGCATGTAAAAGTATTTTAAACTGAAACTGAATTTGCCAAGTAGGTTTTTTTTTTTCCTAGTGAAACAAACATTTCTTCTATTGCTGAACTAAAGGAAACAATCTGGCAACTTTTCAAAAATTATAGGTATCAAAGCAGCTTGCTACCCTGGCAAAGCTTTTGCTTCATTACGTGTTTTCAGCCTTTTCAATTCTCAATTTTTTTTCATGTAAAAAAGTAATAGGCGAATTCTAGCTTAGTTAACAAAGTAAACGTATCTCTTCATGAGGCTGTTGGGTGACAGCATAAGCTACTAGTGGATATAACTTACTAGCTGTGTCCTCTTCTTTATTATCAAAGTTACATGACCTGTTTCAAGTGTCAGAGGGGGTTCCCCTCAAGGTACAGCTTTTCATGCTTTTATTTTTAAACCTCTTCATTCCAATCCCTGATTAGCTGGCCAATACTATATGCATCACACCTGGACTGAGAATATAATAACGTAGCCAATTCAGAAGCTTGCCAGTGTCTTGTTTTGGAAGAGAAATAAGTTTAATGGATCCAGTTGGATGAGACAATCTCAAAAAATTATTACTGCTGTCAACTTACTCGGTGCCTTGTATTTTTGGAAGGTATCACACACCAATGGAAAATAGGCCAAGACTGGTGCCTCTAAGCTGTCCTCAAACACATAGCACTCCTTCAGGTGTTCCCGGTCTTCCTGGCTCAGCTCTGTGCTGGGGAATGGGATCCCATGCTCCAAACAGTACTCTGAGAGTAGGTCCAGTGGCTGGCTCAACCGAGAGGAGAGACGCAACACAAAGAGAGTTTGAAGTAAGACACCAAACCCCATAATATTTTGCTGCAATAGACAATCTGAGATTGATTCATATGTTTATAAATAATGCCAACTATGCACTGCAACAAACATACCATCTTAATTTTAATATATCCTGGGTAACAGAAATTGGGTTGATTTGCTAATACATTATATTTTTAAAGCAGGGTTACTATTTACTGAAATTTATATGACTGAAATTTATATTCAGGTAAATTTGTGTGATTTAGTGAGCAGAGTAGAGGATTTGGATAGGGAAACTTGGATTATATGTGGCTTATCAGATCACAGGTTCTTAAATATCTGCATTCAGTGCATCTATGTCTTCATGTATAGATTACGTTGTAGAAGTTATTTAGTTATTAAGGAACTTGTTACCAGGATGACAAATACATAAAATAGGACATCTTCTGTATGTTGTGTTCATATCCCTGTCCCAGAAAGACACTGAAAACAGCCCTGATAAAGGCAGTGACATGGTCACAGTTGTGACTAGTACCATTGATATGATCACTTAATTTAATAAAAACCATACCATTTTCTGGAAAGAGAAAAAAAAAAAAAAAAAAGAGAGAGAAAGCTGTAGTGGCAATTCAGCTGCTGGAGTCATACAGATAAAGAATCACTGCTTCAAAACATCACCAGAGTCTGTGATCCTCCACTGTAATTTAAGTGGATAATGACATCTACTTTTCTCTCTGGTCTCAGAATTGGTGGGCAGCTGGTGTTGATGAAGAAAGCTGTATCTATCAGCTTGAGGTAGTCACTCGTGTCATTCAGCTGGTTGGGAGAAGAATCCAGCACTGTGTCTGAAAGGCCAAAACTTTTATAATTATCATTTACTGCAGGGTCAAGTCTCTTTTCTTTCCAAATTAGCATAAGAGGACAAAGAAAATACAGTTTACGTATATTTATCTTTGACACAAAGACCACAGTTATGTATTTGTCTTTGACACAATTTTAGTATTTAGAGCTCAACTCTGAGATCAGCAAGAGGGAGGAGTTCCGAGACTCAGCTTCATCCAAAGTGATAAATTACTCTTCTTTTTCAATAAGTGTAAATTTGTGGCTATTTAACTTCCTTAGAAGCTTCAAGTCACTCTTCAATGGCTTTTCCTAGGAAGATGAGAATTCAAGCAAACCGGCTGTGCTTCTTCCAAGACAGGAACAAGACTAGGAATAAATCATCTAGGACTTGGCAAAATCCATTTCACAAACATGTTAATCAAATAATATTAATCAAAATTTACCTCTATGATAAAACTGATCAAATATTTGTCCTCAGCAAGTATTCTCAAATCTCCTTCAAAAATATAAGTGAAACAATTTCCAATTACCTTTCCACATACAAAAGCTCTCATTCTCCAAATATTTGTTATGTAGCTGCAAGCCCTTGAGGAAATTATGGTAAGTTGAAACCACTGGCCGCCCAGTCATCATTTCTCGAAGCGTTTTTGAAAGGTAGCCTTTGGGAATGGATAAGCAGGTTGTCTGTTCATGAGGCTTCTTGGGCAGAGCAGGATGGCTCTCTGCAGGAAGAACAAGAAGAGGGTATGTGTCTGCATTCAGTCAGGGTGTTTCTCTGGTGATAATAACAACCAAACCACCATGGCTCCCAGCTCCATCTGTGACTGAGTGCACTCCTGGACATGCAGAGTGTTCTGGGCAGTGGGTTTCAGTGTCACACCATCACCTTGCTCTTCCTTGTCTGGCCTCTCCCTCCCCAAAGGGCTCTGGTAACCCTCTCGTGACTAACAAAGCTCCCCAGGGATGTCACACAGTGAGCAGCATAATATTTTTTTCCTGTTTTACAGCACAACTGTTGGTCTCCTGCTTTTCCTTCATTCTCAAGGGCTTAGTGTCCCATAAGCCAGAAATAGGACACAAAAACAAATGTGTTTACCAAATGCCAGGTTTCACATTTCAGAAAGGTGTGAAGAAAATGTGGACGCAAGAGAAAAGTCATCTCAAGAACTAACCAATGTCATGCTCAGTGTCTCGAGTCCATCTGTGCCAGAAGTGTTCTGAATGACCCGAGAGGTAGACAGCATCCATAAAACTCTGGGAAAATATATTACTCCATGTGCCTTGAAAGTTTAAAAAAAAAAAAAAAAAAAAAACACGCCATAATTAATATTAGTTTGAATATTAGAGCACAGCTATGGCAACACACCTGAATCCACCCTCTGTTCTAGTTATGAAATATTATGCATTTTCCTGTAAATATCAAATGCCACACCATTCCACACAATGTCTGGCTTACAACCAGGCCATTTTCAAAACTTGGCTGTCTATAAAAGTCAGACTGTGAGTTTAAATACTTCAGATGATCAGTTTGTATGTGTCATTCGGCAAGACGTTCAGCAGATTAGTCACATTTGTCTCAAAAATTGATTTCTTCTTTTGTTGCTTTTCGCTGGTTCATTTGAGATTGAAATTGCATCAGATACATTCTCTGGTGTACTAATACTGCACCTTGCAGACCACCTCTGTGTAGCCAGCTCTTAAGGTGATGTTTCCTTGAGATAGTAAATTACCTTCCAAAAAGCAGATGTGGGATTCTGGGATCTTCTTCATCCGGCGACCCATGAAGAACTCACTACCAAAATCCTCTGAACGAACAAAGGCCCCATATTTCAGGAGACCCACCTCGTAAGGTGTGAACTCCACCCACTCTGTAAATAAGGCATCAAAATGGATTTATTGCAGCCACCTGAACACATATAAAAATCAGCTTAGAGAATCAGAAGCTGGAAGAACAAGGCCTATACCTTGACCATGGTAGTGACAGACCGTTCAAACCACCATGTTTTGAAACAAACAGGTGCCCTTCAACATACATGAATGCAAAAGCTAAATTCATCTCCTCTGCCAAAATCCATTCAGCTTGAGATTCAGATCCATTTCTGCACTAAGAAGCAAGACCTGAAGCTTAAAGTCCACTAATTGCTAGGGCTCTGCACACAATGTGGCATTTTGAGTTCCTCTGATTCAGCAATGACGCCAGCTACCATTCATTCAAAAGACTCTCATAATCACTGCCTTGAGGATAAAAAACTCTGACCAAACCCCCTCCCCACATGGAAACCTTGGCTGGGTGCACTGGGACTGCAACTGTGCCTAGGAGCAGATGACCACGTTCAGTTGCAGGACCTCCTGCTTCCTTTGTGCTGGAAACCCTGTGGAACAGTGATCGGGATCACTGATCAGAGCACAGAGCCCTGACTCTCCTCAGATCCTTCTCTGCCCGCTAGGAGCTGACTCCTGCTCTCACCCTTCTCCACCTTCTCCTTTTCCTCTTTTCCTTGCCCTCCTTCCCACTCTTCATAACTCTCTTGGAGTAGTGCTGCCTCAGCAGGAGACCCAGCAGTTGACAGGGGCTGTGGGGGGAGGTGGGGATGAGAGGGGTGTCTCTCAAGGCTGCCAGCAAAAGGCATCTCCATCCCCACCCTGAGCAGTGTCTACAGCACACCTATCTCCCTCCCATAGGTTTAGCATGCATGTTTTTCATCCAAATCAGAAACCAGATATGAAGACAGGGAAAAGGAAATTATTTAAAAGATTTATTGGCTTGGACTTACAGAAGAATGTTTTGGCATTCAATCAGCATTAAAAGGAAACTCTTCAGAGTTCTAAGAGGGTGTATGATATCTATACCTTTAAAATCCAAAGTGCTGAAGTCATCCTTGACATTGAGGGATAGGTATATGGGGAGTGGATTCTGCCCCTGATTGACTGCTAGTTGTTGATCCGAGAGTTTGTGAGTATTTTCCTGTTTACAAAGAGCAAAAGTCCTTGTAAAAAGATGAACATGGTGCATGGACTTACTACAGTATCTAAGCATAAACTCTCAATGAAGTATCTGCTAAACCTCAGCAGGTTTTTTCTGTGTATTTTTTTTTTGTTTGGCCAGACAAGTGTGTTCATGTGTTATCTGCCATGAGCTTCCACCAAGGCATTGTGCTTATGGGAGTTTTGGCAAGGGGGACAGGGCAAAAATGCAAGAAACATGTCTGCACAGTTACTGGGATATGACTTGCTTTAAGGAAAGAAAGATATTGAGTCAACCTGGACCCATTTCCTTCAGTACAGCTTATGGGTATACATTGCTATGCCTGAACTTAGTTCTGCCAGAGCCTTCTCTCCTCTGTGTATTACTAGAATTACCACCTGACCCAAAACCCAAACTTAGAGATGGAAAATCAGTTTCTTTAACATCTTGAATTTTTGCATGCTCAGACATCTAGATGCTAACACTGTAGGGTTACTTGGTTACTTTTATTCTAAAAAGCCAAATAATAAGTCCTTCAGGTGTTCTCAGAGCCTTTTCTATAACTGAATCCACAACTATAGACGTGGGAAGTTAGAAATCCTGTGAAATAAGAGGGAGAGAAAGAATATAAAATACCTGATGATGTAGCATACAATCAATAAAGAGTCCCCATAAATCTGTAAAGGACACCTTGTGCCCCTCTTGCTTTCTCTCACAAAGCTCATTTTCATAGTATTTCATATGATCCAAAGAGAAACAGTGCAGCTTGCTCTTGGTCACGTGTGTCCTGATATCACCAACGGGCCCTCTGAGATCCTTTTGTGACCAATTTGCATCTTCATATAACTTTGACATGGTCCTGGATAAAAGAAAGGTACTGTGAGACATGACAATTTATTAGTCTATAACACACTTAAGTATTTTGTTTGAGGCTACCTGAGGTTCTTGCCCTCCAACTTTTACTTGGAAGAGCATGAGGCAGAATTTAAACTGTGTAATGATGGGTTTTTTCCTGCACAAATACATTTAAAATCATCCTAGCTTGTTTGTATTTCAGAATCAAAAGAGTAATAAAGCAACAGTGACAACTTAACTCAAGCTTTTGCTAGAATTACCCTTTGATTGTCCAAGCCACCTCTTCTATCTGAGGCCAGTTCCCTCAGGTGGGTCAGACCCTGTGTGAAAGGCATAAGGGGAGGCCTGAGCTGCCAGGACCCAGGGCTCAAGCAGATTCCAGTCATCTCCTCTCATCCCCACCCCACTTGGTCTCATTCTGTCTCACATACTTTTAGAGCAGCCTCCAGAGGCAAAATGTTTTAAATCCCTCAACCCCTCCTAGTTTGTGCAAGGCAGTCACCATTGAGCACACGAATAATACTCTCAGGGCTGTTCTTTAAAAGTCTGGTTTTTGGAGACATGTAAGAATTGAGCCAGACAAATATTACAAAAGGACTTTTGAAGTGTTGCATGCAACAAGATAACAAGTTACAGGCAAACCCCCACGGCTTGTGCTCTTTTCTTTTGATTTCTGTAAACACTTCAGTGCAGTTACAGAAATACTGTCACTCTCATTTGTTTCTTATAGGAGGATAGCACTGAGTGGTCCCATGAAAAAGGTCCAAAAGGAAGCCAAGTGCCCACATCGAGCTGAGTAAATTCGTCAGTAAGGCAAAATTGTTCACCAGGTTATCACTTTGCTAACACAAATGTCAAGTACAGGCCCAGCTCTCCTTACCACGTTGTGGCAGACAAACCACTGATGTATGACACACAGTCCAAAACACCCAGCTCCTGGAGAGCCAGGAGGCTGCCAAACATCGCTGTCATGGACCGCACTCCCCCTGCTGCAGTCACCACTGCCACCACTGGCACCTGCTCCACACACAGAGAGGGGCACAAAGTTACACATTGCCAGGAGAAATACAGGAATGACGGTCATGCAGAAAAAAGTAACAGTAGAACCTGGTTCAGGTAGGTTTGGATTAATTCACCCTCTTCAGGGCAGTGCCTAAATGTGTGTTTGACCTGTGTAAACTTTGGTGGAATTTAGTGTATGCTGAAAGCATTTTCCAGATCAGTGATGCTTTGGAAAGTCAGGAGCTGTAAATACAGTTCTTTTGTGGGGAAATATATTTTCAGATTTTCTCAATGTATTTAATTTTTCCTCAGCTCTTCCCCTCAAAACACCTTCTAAAGCTCTGAGTATAACTAAGGTCAGAAGAGCAGCACAAAACCTGCCTGCATTATTTTTTCTTCCTTAAAGTGTTTATACAACATTAGCTATTCTCCAGGCAGATATTGCCCAGCTTTATAGATTTATTTTAACACTGTTTTTCCAACCCAGATTACGTCTACCTTCCCTGATATCAGTGCTATATGTAATTTGGTTTTACTTTCTTCAGGAATGCATCGATCCTATTATCCTTCCCCCTTTTCTGTATAGTAAAAATTGATACAACAAATAATCAATTTTATGAACATATGTTGCCATTACCTTTAATCTTGTCTTCACTGTATTTCACCACCTACTTGGGGGTTTGGGTTTGTTTTTTTTTTATTATTATTATTAATTTGGCTCAAACCCCCTTTTATTCTCAGTTAATAATAACAAGTCATATTCTACCTGTTCCTTAAGTTGAGCATTTTGACTTGGTTGAAAAATGCTGTCCTGCACACATCATAAAGGGTTGGGTGTGCTGGGAGCTGAACAGAGCAGTGGGGGAAATACCCCACAGGCACATCGTCCCAGACTCTTGCCCCAAGCACCACAGCCCCATAACAGATCATTGTCTTCCAGCTACCTCTGAGTTCAGGGATCCCTAGGAGAGGCGCAAGCAAGAGGTAACACCAAAAAACACACAAGACAGATGCTACGCTACCAGTGTGCTATGGGAGAGTTGCAGCCTTCCCTGTGCCCTGTGTAACCTTGTGGCAGCAGAGAAGGGATGCCAAAGACGAGAAATGGTCTCAGTTTAAGCAATCCGATTTCACCAGGCTTGGTTATACACACCAGCATGTCAGCAAATACAGCCTTTGGGTGCCCCTGAGGGAGGACAGAGGTTGGCAGAGAATAAAGGAGCTATAAACCAGCCTTCTGACAGTTCCTCTTTCATCTTCTGTGTCAAAAACTTGGATATGGTCTCAGGTGCAAGTGACAATCTGACCTTTACTATTTATATAGTGGAAGAGCTGTTTGGGTCATGCAAGTACATCACATCCACTTCTCTCAAAGTGGGTTATACTGCTTCAAGTTCCCAAGATGCTGTCCCACATACCTCATCCTCCTGCAGGTCTTCATCTAGATGAAGAACATTTTTCAGAGCAGCAGCAACCACCTTCTTCCTTTTCCGGATGAAATCCTGCTCCTCCGCGCACAGACCAAACCCCAGCCGCAAATCTAAATCCTTGCAACTAGAACATAAGAACAGCACAAGCACCCGTAGCCATTTCAGTTGGAGACATTCAGCAAAGCCAACAACAATAACCAGTTCAAAGAAATTATACTTCCATGTACATGAAAGTCCCCCTGTGTAAATGAAAGCAGTTATATACATATCCTATGCCCTGTATTTGTGCCTTCCTGTGGAGATTTTAGATCAGAATTATGTCCTGAACAATTTCACACAATCACAAGGAAATTTAATGAATAAAATTAAATTGTTTCACATTGAACTCTGGTACTTGGACACCTCTTCACATTCTCCTGCTATGCATGTGCTTGGTGTCCCAAGGATAAAGGGGGCCTAAGTAGTTATTTCAACTTAACACGCTTCAGTTAAAATAACCCTAATACTGAGTTAGGCTTATCTCTACAAAGAATCTGTGCTCTATTTGAATCAGAAGATTTCTCTTAAATTTATCCCTTCTGCACATTATCATAAATAACAAGTACATGATTCATTCTATAACCTATATTTTCACAGGGTTCCAGTTTCAGAGGTTTTTTCAGGGGGAAAAAAAATCACAAAAATTTTTCTGTATCTTCTCTGAATATTATTCAATAAAACCCTCTGATTTATCATTCACCTGCAACTAAGGCTTGCAATGGAACTAACTTATCAACAGGGGGTAATGTTACCCTTCAGAAAAATCTCAGCAAGCCAGTCAATAAATAAATTACTGTCCATGTGTTTAATTCAAAACTTACCTATAGAGGTCTTGTAAATGCATAAAGGTGTTAGACACATTAGAACTATGGTACACATAAATATGCATATATTATAGATAAAGGTTACAAGGCAGAAGGATGTTTAGGTATCAAAATTACAAAGCATCAACATTAGGAAAAATATTGTGATGGTTTATACCCCACATAGGATAGCTACCACCTATCCTATTCTAAATTCTTACCAACCAATTTAAAAGCTTTAAAGCATTTTATTAACCATTCTCCATATTTTAGTCAGCTTTATTTCCTGTTTTGAAATTAGCTACTTTAAGATGTAGCTTCCTTTCATCTAACAATGAAATTATGAAAGGAGAGGAGATGGCCTAAGTAATCATTCAAAAGCAATAAAAGATTTACCTATTTTCCTCATTCACAGACACCTCATAAGATTCCCCCTGAAAATTAATAATTAAATCAATCAATAAATTTTAAATAGAATTGAAATTTTGTAAAAGCAGGTTTTACAGTATTAGCAATTTTTCAGATATATAGTCTAATGATAAATTTTTGGTCTCCTCTCAGGTATTCAACACACAATACTCATCCTGCTTTTAAACGACTGTTAAAGCAGCCAGAAATTCTAAATATCCTATTCCCCCCCCCCCCCCCGCAAAATCATACTTATATTTCTAAGTGTATGCAGAGCTAAGCATACAAATAACTCACTGATGCATTTTTAGTAACAAAATTATTACATGACCAGATATCACATATATACAGTTTACTTTGTTGAAAGAATTCCAAATATCCAAAGGATACTCACTCTCATCACTGTCACTTTCCTTCCCAAATCCAGAGAATGGAGAGGCACACTCAAGGGACTACTTACATCCATTTCCCTCCTACCTGAGCCGGGCTGATTTAAAGAGGGGGAAAAAATATTATAAGGAGAATATTATTTATAGAGCCTAAACACAGAAATACCAGATAAGGATTTACTCATGATTCTTCTCCCAGAATTTAGGTTAGGTGTTATCACCATCCATAAGAAAAACCTACACAACAGAGAAAACGCTCCTTTGGCAGAGTCATGAGCAGCCTGGGTTGACTGTGCTTGATATAGTGGAACCTGGTGGTTTCACTTCTTCCTGGTCTGGAGTGAGGATCTATGGAAATATCCTGTGTTTCTTCATAGGATCCTTTCACTGTGAAGGTGAAATCTCTCCCTAAGAACAAGAAGCAAACCGCAGGGAGATGTTAACGGTGCCTAGTCCTGAAATTAGCCAATAAAAGTGCCCCAAGTGACATTTCAGTCTTAGTGCTGCAGGCTTAACTGAGGTTAATTTGGACCACAGTGTTTTCCTTCCCCTGTGCCCCGTGTGCAGCACCTGGCACTTGGAGATCCCCTGGATGGCAGGGGCTCGGAACTGGCCAGCTCTCAAGCTTGCAATGGTCGGAGAGCTGATCTCAAAAGCTGATGGCAGAGTCAGGGCTGACACCCCTGGCTCCTCGCGGCCCAGCCCTTCATCCCCTGAGAAAAGCAAAGGCACCTGTTCTGAGAATTTCACCAACCTTCAGGGGAATTTTTAGCAGGCACCTTTGTACATAATTCTTTGTGTGAAAGTGTGTGTGAATTGATTTGAATGCCCCATAGCAGGTGTAGTATGAATGTTATCATCCTACATACATCATTATTTATTGTTCTGCTTATTGTAAATACCATTGAATTGCTTTTTAAATGCTAAATTAAGGGATGATTAAGTGCTGCTGAATCCTTTAGACAAACAATCAAGTCTAAGGCTAAGTTTGGCAAGAGGGCCCACTCTGAAACTCACAACTCAGTGTGAGGGTCTTCATTCCTGGCACCCTTTCCTTTTCCCTCTTTATCCTTTTACATCCCCTGTCACTGCATAAATAATTCTAGATTTATTCTAATCTGATTTTTCTTTGTATGTTTCATGCATGTAGTAATAGAGTGAACCTTGCCATCAAACTTTATCACACTTTTATAAATTTATAGTAAACTACACTTGCTAATACCTTTGCCAGTGATTAAGTGACCTAAACCATTTGTGACAGCCTCCCAAGTGACAGAGAGTGTGTGCTACACTTGTGGATGCCTCTAGCAGCATTCACATCTCCTGAGCTTTCACTGAAGTCTTTCTCCTCCTGGGAGCTGTGTCTGACTCCTTTTGCTTTCTGTTTTCACCAGAAAACAGAGATAAAGGTACTTCAGTTCCATCACACTGCAGTTGTGTTCCATCATACAGCAACAGCTGTTTCCAAATCTCCCAGCCAGCTCCACAGTTTCTCTTAAGCTACACAGTCATGTCTTCTGAGGAGTCTCACTATTAGCAAGTGGGTAATTCAGGAAATATACAAGCAGCCCTTATGCAAACGGGGACAAAAACAAACCAAATATTTATCTAGATTCAGCTGTTTCCCATTGCACAAAAAGCAGTGACAAACAATTTAAATCAGCAACCTCACTTTTGTAAGAATTCTTCATTTTTGTTTCATTCACGTGTACTTCTAAACAGGAAACTTCACGAGACTGGAAGAGAGAAGCAATAAAACCACTGGTCACAGAGACAGTTCAGAATTCACACTGAGGTTCTAGGAGTCCTGTAGAAACACAGTGCTTGGCCATGATGGTCTATGGATGTGAAGAATTTGTAGAAACTGAGTATCTTGTATAAATCTTGCAAGCAGTACTGTGGTTAAGGAAGCCAAAATAACTGGGAATCCGTCATTACATTTAAATACCATTCAGTCCCCAACAGTTAACACAAATTATATTTGTGTTAATAAACACAAAAAGAAATTTTTCTTCCTATCTTCCAACCACATCCTTCAGTTCTGCCCCACCATAAGATTAGCATACAAAAAAAAAAAAAATTACCACTAGTACACCATTAGTAATGATCTTCTCGGATACACCTGGTCTGAAAAGAAAAACCAAATAGGTTTATTTAAAAGTGTGTATTTAAGCAATAAACTTTCAAAAGCACATAGTTCTCTGAGCTCAGTTTTTCTAGCTGACATCAGCACTTGTAGTACCATCAGCAATTCCATCCTTCCCCTCTCTCTTGCAGCCTCTGCCAGATCACATCCCATACCTTCCTAAGGATGCTCCTTCCTTCTTACCTCTGCTGATGAGTATCATCTCTCCTAAGGCTGAATCACAAAATAAACACCCATTCTCAGCTATAAATAGTAAGACTCACTCAAATTTGGGACAAAAAATAACAACAGGGAAGATGCCGAGATGGTGTCTGAACAGAGGTACACAGAGCCACTTTCCCAGTGCTGCATTACTATTCTCTCTAAAATGCAGTTTTCTGATGACAAACTCTACAGCATTTAGGTTTTACTTACATGTTTTCCAGTAGAAATTTACTTACATGTTATCCAGTAGAAATTCCACTTCTAGTTCTTCCTGATTCTGAAAATAGGACTTTTTTTAAATTTATGAATGAATAAATATTTTCCATTGATGCAACTCTGACAATTTACTTATAACCCTCCATTCCCACACCCTCTACATCATAATATGAATGGATTTCTGTGGCCACACTTTGACTCCACCTCTCTACTGCTCTATTGTTCACAAACCAGCTGTACCATCAAGAGAAAGGAAAGATTAGGTATCATTGAATAGGGAGCAAGGGTCCTATTATTAATACATTAGTAGGATAAGCCATGGGTCTGTCAATGCTGAGGAAGGCAAGAATAGCAGGTGAATGATGTAGGAAAACATAATTAAGAATGAACGGACTTAGTACAGTGAATAGATAGGGAGTATACCTTGGTTAAACAAAAGAATTTGCAGAGTAAAGTCATTAAACATTAAAAAAGGGTGGGAGAAGGGACCAACTTAGAAAATAAAAACTGTCAGGGTGAAGGGAAGAAGAGAGAAGACTAAAGCTGTGAAGGGGAATCAGGGAAAGAGCTGAGGAGAGACAAATAAAGAGGCAAAGAGACAGGAAAAGTGTAAGAATGAAGCAGTAACAGAGTAGCTCACCAACAGTATAAAGGAGACTGAATAACTGTATAACTTCAGCCACTTGCTATGGGATACAGCCAAGCCAGGAAATACCACACTAAAAAGAGTATATCAGAGAGATCTTCTGGATCATCCACAGGGAGGAAAATACTAGCTAACAGTGATATAAACTATGACACTTGTCTCTTCCTAACAAGTGACAGTAGCAGTTTTTAATTCATATTCAGAATAGCTAATATTTACTGACAAATATCCCTCCTGTCCAGCTGCACATCATACTTTAACATTGTGAATGGACTGTGAAAAGCATGTCAAATCTGACAATGCAGCTGCCATAGGAGAAACATCTTTACAGTGAAAGTGAAGAGCAATTTTGTATTTACTAATTCACATCAGTAAATGAGACATCTCTGATGGCTTCTCTGATAGCTGCATCTGTGGCATATAATACAGAAGCAGGTAGCTGTGCTTCCTAATTTCTCCCAAAGTCTCTATTTCATGAGAATTACAGTGGTTGCAATGTTGTAACACAAGGCTGGGGCACAGATTTTAGAAAGCAATCACCTTGCACAGATGCAACAGAGAATATCAAATATTTAATTGTGCCCAGACTATACTATCCAAACTAACTGGTCATCTGTTACAACTTTGTCCAAAGAACATCAGAAACAAGGATCAGAAGAACCTGGCTCATAGCATCTGCCTGATTGTGCTTGCCTTATGTTTCCATCCTTCTTATTCTGTTTTACACTCACAAAAGTTATGTTTCTATGAAGTCCCACTCACATATTTGTGTGTGAAAAATCCAGAGCATAGGAATGGAAGTACTTGTTAGGCCACAGAGAGCAAGAGGCACAGCAAAGCAACCCTGCTGCTCTGACATTACCCATCTGACCTCCTCAGCCCTTCTTCTGAGATACCTTGGTAGATGAAAGAATTCATTATGGGCAGAGGTGGCACTATAGCCTGTTATTAAGATTGCCCAGCCTGTTGCATTCCTAAGTCACTTTCAAAAAAATAAAATAACCTAAAGTCTTCTAAAAATCCAAATACAGATCATAATCTGTGATGCCTCATGGGTGCCTGATTCACCACAAACTGAAGAAGGGCAGCTTGACCAGGATGTTCCTGAGACAGCTCACTTGGTCTGACCCCCACCACTTCCACCTTGCTAATGGGCTAAGACAGCTCTGCACATGCCTCAGAGCAAATTCAGGGCTTGAATCACACCTGGCATTATCTCAGTCACATGAGGCTTTTCTGAGGAAGGCTGTAGCCATCTGGAGCAGGTTTAGCCAGCAGTCCTCAGTAAGGATTGGTCTTCTAAAAGAGTAATTAATAAAAACTCTCCAAAGCAATAGTAATACAAAAATCAGGCAAGAGTGTTTCCAAAGAGCCTGATTGACACAGTGGTTTAGAAATAAATGGAACACACCAATTCCTGGGAACCAAAAACTGAAGCCCTTGGCAGAAGTATGAAAAAGTCCTGAAGTTGTTACTACATTCTCCAAACAGAGAAGTTGTTACATTGTGGAGGTCATCTGAGTATATATTCTGCTCTCTTGTAAAATGAGTGTGATCTCCCCACCTCTCCTCTCAGCAACTTCATCCACTCAGTGTTTCATAAGATACTCTTTATCTCCCCTTTAATACAACCAAACATAATAATTTTTTTAGATTCATGCAGCAAATACAACTCTTAAGTCATACACTCAGAAGAAAAAATAAAATGCTGATGATATTCTCATTCATCAAGAGATGAATTCTTCTGTGCTGGCTCAGCCCCTCTAAAATAAATTTGTAGCAAAGGAGCATAAGCAGACTTGCTGAGATTTTTTTTCTTAAAGTTGTTTTGTAGAGGAGGAAAAAAACCCCAAAGGTATTATCACAAGAATAAAATGCCTCATTTAGCAAGTACATTATATGAAAGAACTGGCCAAAATCCTGATGAAGCTGAGAGGATATAGCCCTAGTGAGCTACTGGCCGAAGGGTAAGGGCAACTGCCTGGAAAAGCGGACAGGTTTGTTCCACCCCTACTCTAGCAATCTCCCACAACAGAAATGAGACCTAACTATCAGCTTCTTCATTTTTTGACTCTGTTTCTCACTGACTTTTCAAAATATAATTTTGACATTAAAAAATAAATAAATAAAAAATAGGAATACAACAAGTAATTTTCATCTTATCCCAGTCACAACAGGGAGTGTTTGTGACCCCTCTCCTAAAACCCCAACATTCAACTCTTTTTAGTAACATTCTTTTTAACAAAGTCTTTGTGTGTGAGAACCAATTTAATGTTCAATAGAGGTAGCAACTTAAGACAACATTCTAATTAAGAGTATTATTTTCTCTAGCCACTCACCTCTGGATTCAATTCAAAATTCAGGCGAACTTTTTCTCCAGGTGGGATTTTAGCCACATCAAAGCGAACAGTCATGAGATGGTCATCTGGGGTAAAAGTGTCCTTATCACAGACTGTCAGCTCCAGGATGTTCTGAGGAAAGAGGCAGAGAAGGATGTAAATGACATATTCTGGGACTACTGAGCCCAAAAGGAAAGTCCAGCAAGAGCCAGCATTCAGCCCTCACACCCATGTGGACAAACTCCTGTGACAGCACAGAGCTCAGCCCACAGCCCATGTGGCTCAGACAGCAGAGTCAGGGACTAATCCTAGAGGGGGTAAATCATCCGATTTGGCAACCAAAAAGAGCTCCAAAAGAAGAGGAAACATAAGCAACATATATGATGGTAACATGCACCAGACAGAACAGAGGTTACACACACTATTCCTCAGATCTTTCATGGATTCAAAATCACTGCCTTGAGAAATCTTGACATTTTGTTAGAAAGTAATAGTAAAGGGGAAATTTTTAGGCCTTTGAAATAAAAGTTAAAGCATAGTACCAAACTCTCAACAGGATTTGATCCCCTGTCAGTTCCTCAGGGCTTAGGTTACCATGAGAAGATGCAGCACTAGTAAACTATGAGAAACTGATCCAGTTTGGACTTTGTATCACTTTCACTCTGACTGCTCACCTATTTCTGCTAACGCTATAAACACTTTAACAGCTTTTTACAATGGTTCTGGGACACAAAGAAGCATCCAACATTATTCCTGATATTCCACAACCTTCTGAGCTTAAACTACTTCTTTCAGTCAGGTTAACTGAGTTCAAGACCCATTTGAGCCTCATGACTTTCAAAAGGAGTCTGCCCACAGCAGCTGAAGATGCCCCCTTTGGAAAGCACCTGCTCATTGTCACAGATCCCACCTTTACTTCACTCTGTATCACGAAGTGGAAAGTTTCATTCCAGACAGGCCTTCTGCAGTTGTGTACAGTTCTTGTCTGAGCTTCCTGACATGAAGCTGTTGGCAGCCACAGCTTGACGTAGCAATCAGTTTGACTCCCTGTGTTAACAACAAGTTGCACAATTAGTACAACAGTACTTCATTATTATTTTATTTGCTCAGTCAGGGAAAGAAAATATTAACCTCTGAGGAGTCCTAGATATTTCATTAAACTCCAAGGAAAATATTCTGGGCTTAGAGTTTAACTTTTCTATTTAGATTTATATGAGTTTCAAAAAAGTCACTTTTAAACCACTAATTCTATTAGATAACAAGAGCAAAAGTATTTTATTTCAACAGTGCTGAACTAAGTACTCTGGCCCTTCTGATTTTATAACTCTTATTTTCAAATATTTGCCCTTTTCCAAAAAAAAACCTCATATACATTTATTGAAATGGCACTTCTTAAAATTAAATGGAAATTTTAGTTTGGGGGATTTTCATCTATTTGTAATGGACAAGTCATCCACACCAACAGAACAGTGAAGACACAAACACAGTAACATCCAAGCAACTACTGATTTTTCCTGTATCTTTCACAAAGGTGTTCCTTTCAAAAGGGAATTGGGCAATCTGGAAAAAGGGACACTGAAGAGTTAGGAGAAAGGGAAATATCACAGAGCAGCTGATAAAGAGAAGGACAACTTCTTCAACACAATTTCTAGTCTATTTCCTTTCTGGTTTTAAGTGTTTCCTAAATTATTTTGAATTTAAATGAAAATGAAAATAAATACAACTTCTTCACCCAACCCCCCTTGAAATATTACTGTAATCTAAGCAACAGGTGTACAAGAGCATAAAAATCAGGTGACAGTAGTTTTCTTGAGAAGCTATAAATGTGCTATCAGTGATACTTACACAGATCTGCTTTGCGGAGATTTCTCATGCCTATAATTTTTACAGAAAGCCAGCACAACTGAGGCACTTCTGGCTGCATAACAATGAGAAAGATACCTTAATTATTAGCAGTTAACTCAGATATAAATAATAACTCATCCTTTAACACCACAAAGGCCATTCTGTCATTATAATGCAGTGAATTTAATTTTAACTATTTCAGATATTTTCTGATAATAAATACTTTCTTGTGATTTGACATTGAGTAAAGATAGCCTGTCATTCATAGCTAGGGTCTACATTAACCAAAATGAAACCTCATTAATGCAACAAGGAGAACTGGGTTTTTAAAGCAACAAGCAGGAGGGGGTTTATAAAGAATCAGAACTGAACACAGCAGGAATCACTAAAGCTCTAAACAATGTAAGAAAATGGAAAGCTGAGAAGACAAAGTAAAATTGGCAGTGTGTTAGATTATATAATAAAACACAAATAAACAACCACAAGCTATACTTGTATGCAAATGCACATACACAAAAAAAAAAAAAAAAAACAACACAGGAAAGAAAAGAGAACGGCACAAAAGCACAAACAGGCAATTTAGAATGTCTTGGCTTAATAACAACATACCTAGACTGACCTGATTGATCTACCAAGGAGAAGCCCTGAGGCACAGCAATATTGACAACCTATAGTGTAGTGTTCTACAGGAGAATATCTTGAAGGCTCCACAAGTTTCTCCATTTTTTCTGTTCTTCCTCCACTCCCTATCACAGCTAAACAACCCTACACTTGGTCACTGGAAAAACAAGACAGTGTTGAAGAATGTCAAGAGTAAAATACTACATGCAGAGGCCAGCTCCATTTATTAAATTAAATGCAGCACTAAAATCTCCAAAGAATCATGATTTCTGAGAAACTGCCTGCTTAGCACCTCCTTGTGTACATCTAGAAATCAATAAGCCACCAAGCCAAATGTTATTTACAGCCTACTGAAAAAATTCTCAACTCAACACTTTTTTCTCAGCAAGTGTCATTTGAACAAAACCAGAGGGTCTGAAAGAAGCCCATCAACCTCAGCATAACTTTTGGCAGCAGTGTTTCTGGAGATGAAGGATGAAAGAAGTACATGATCCAAATTGCTGAAAGCTCAACATATCATTCCAAATACAGAGGATTGATTTTTCATCCTCAGCTTTAGTACCGTCCATATCCATGAGTTTGAAGAAAACTTATTCATGAGATGGTTTAAGCACTAAGCAACTACACTGACACAAACCAAATTATAATTCCATGGTGCTAGCAGTTAGTGAATGCACTACTCTCCCAGATTTAAGAAATAGTTACCTTCATACTTTTGTACTGAATACAGCTAGGGAACAGATTGAGAAAACTCAGGGGTAGAAAAACATATCCTACTATTTTCATTTTTCAAGTCATTTAATATATTTTCAACTAACCATTAGTCAAAAACCAGAATAATTTGTAACATATCTAAAACGTACTTTCCAAAACCAATTCATCTTCATAAAAATCAGTGTTCAGAAAAGTGTCAGAAATGGGAGCAAGCCATTTTATTTGCTGGTCTACCTCCATAAAGTAAAGGAAAAACAATTTAAGGACTAAGCCTTGGGTGTTATGAGGTATGACTACTGTCATATAATCATACCACAGTAAACCAAGACAAAAATCCAGCTCTCCCAGTTCCTTGCCTAGCATTTAAACCACAAGTTCATCATCTTCCCAACCCCTAAGTCACAGTGAATACTTTGCACTCTAGACAGCACACTCACAGAAGAAGCAAATATTCCCTTAACTATCTGTTAATAAATGTCACCTCTCACAAAAACAGTTAAGCTTGGGGAGAGACTGGAAAGGCTGACAGAAGAACTGCAGGTATCACGGCCATCCTTTATGCCCTGCAGCTCTCTCCTTGCAATCCAGAAGCTGCCTTCCATACAGTACCTCATTTTCAGCACTGCATGGTCTGCCATGACTCCTCCTCATGATTCCAATCTTCCTGTGCGGATTTGCACGGATGAACCAACCCTGGAGACAAAGAGCCAAAAGAGGGGCCAGTGATGAAACCCAGCAGTCAGTAATTTTCAGTTTCTACTCAGATTCACTATGGAAGGAGACCCTAGCATTTCTCCCAGTTCTCCTCTTCATGATGGGATATATCCATCTCACCAGGACCATCTCCCTGCTGCTTTTACTAATATATCTGCCTACTGTAGACACATTTGATAGTGAAGGATCAAAATTCCCCAAGCATTTGCTTTTGATGAATCTCAACCAAGACAGCCAAACAGATTCTTCTGCCCCACCACTGATTTTCTCTTACCAAAGGTGAACAGGCTGATGATCCCATCAGTATCTTTGTTTCATAAAAGGCACTACTATAAGGGTCCAGTCTGTGTGTCTCCCAGCTGGTGTATGCTCCTGGACCACAGCTGTGGCCAGGAAGAAGGGAAGAAGGGTTGTATAGATTGACTCACGGCTCCACCTCCCACTGATTTCAAAAGCACAAATGATGCATTTGTTCTGTCCACATGAAGACCTGCCTTTTCTTTTTTTTTCTTTTTAAAACCACAGGGATTTCAGGAAAAAAGGAGATAGGTCAAGCATTTTATCACAGGGTAATGCCAGAGTCATTATCCACCACCATAAGGTCTGAATAACTGCACACAGAGGGATCTCCTAGGGCAGTTCCAGCCCCCACCAGCTTATCCAGTCCATGCACAACAGCAAGGATTTTCACCAAGTTCACTACAAATTACACTCATGAAGTGGAGGCTCGATCTCACAGGCACTGGCAAATAATTAAAGAAAACACCTTGTAGTTTTTTTTCTCTCTTATTTGGTTTCACAGAGGATGTTAAGGAGTCAGCAGAGCCAGCAGGAGCTTTTTATATTGAAACATTTTTTAGCTGAAGTGCTGCTTTCAATTAAATGATGTCAGAATCTCATAAGCCTTAACAAAAATAACTACACAACACTTTTTCAAAAGTCTTTAAAAATCCCTGTTAAAATTGTCATGTCTAATCTTTTTAATTTTATAGTAATTTCCCACTATTTTTCTGTAACAGTACTCAAAATGTAAAACCTAAAGGACCTAGTATTATTATGGAAATACAAAAATAGCACAGAAGCCAGCTATTGCATTAAACATCACTAAAAATAGGTATTATTCAATAGTAAGAAATTGCAGTTGAAACAAGTCTTTTCAAAACCCTTCATTTTTTAGAATTCTCAAAATTCTAAGACAGAATTAAAGCCCTTTTTAAAAGTTGAAGGACTTCTTAGGAAAAAATAAAAATCTGATTTTTCAACCATTTCTAATGAAAGTATTTGAGTATTTAAACTGTCTTATAAAGAGCTACCTTAGATGAGACGTATCTTAGATAAAGTTTCAAATTTTTATTATAGTTAGTCTTGCCTTTCAATAGATTCAAGCATTCAATGCAAGAATGTTTTTGCTTTAGGCTGTACTGACCATTATGCAAAAAAAAAGCCAGATGACTTCCCACCTAAAGTTTTTTGCTAGGTTGTTTTCCTTTATTGTGGAACAGGTATTACAATAGAGAATTATTTCACTTTTTTTTAATATAATAACACTTTTGTAGTAGCACTCTAAATTGAAGCAAGAGATTTAGCTCACAGGGTCACAAGAGGCTGAACCCAATAGCCATTCCATGACTGAACTGAGGCTCTGAAGTAATTTTGTATCTCTGTTTGATGACTGTGGATTCTCCTCGCTCTTTGAGGACAAAAGTTAGCCATCCACTTATATAACATTCCATTGCACCCCACTTAACTTCCACCCTTTCCAAAAGGTCCACTTTTGGGCCTTTTGTGGATTTTGTAAATCAAATTAAGCAATATTAATTGCTGAAGCTGCTATGTCATTACAGTGCCCTGGCTTACTCTGTACATAATAAGAGAAAAGAACCCAACTGAACAACTGTCTCACCCAGAAGCAAATCTAGCCAGTAATAATAGAAAATTACTTGATAACTTGACACTGTGCATCACAAACCACGGTGCAGGTGAGTCACAGTCAGGAAGCCACAGGCCAGAAGACAAGGTGGCATTTCACCAAGACCATCACAACTACAGCAGCCCACAGCTGTGGTGATATGAGGTCTGGAGTCACACAGGCCCTTGGGCTGGGCCACATTACTTGTAACAGGGTGCAGAGGAGCAGACAGCTTGCAGCAGAACCAGCACAGGCTTTGCAGCCTCTTGAGAGGCAGCTGCAAGAGCTGGAGGTGCCCATTTGCCACCAAGATCCCAGACCAGTTTAGACACAGGCTCAGAATAATTTTTTGCTCACAGAAAATAGAGACTGATAATAATTTTTCCAAATTCTCACAGGTTTTCTACAGATATTTGACATCAAATATCTAATATTTAATACAAAGCAAAGGGGGAAATAGCCTTCAGAATCTGGCTCACAAGCCTCCCAAGATCAGTAACTTGTGTGAGAAAGGTGCCATGGTAAAGAGACAGAGACCTCTTGATCTGAGCTCTGATACACCAATGCAGACACAGGGTCCAGCCTCATTTCTAAAAATACTTGTGCTTTGTTCTTCATAACCTGCTAAATCAAAGCTGTTGGTCACCATCTCTAGATATCAGACTTCATTTACATGACCCAAATAAGCCATCCCAAAACTTAATAATAACCCTTTTTGACCTAGATTCTGACAAAATCAGAAGTGACAACAAATGAAATCATTAAGAAATTAAATCTTCATCAAGCATTTGGATAAAATTAAGAACAGTGGCATTAAATTGTATTTCCTGCTTTGATAATACAGAAAATCCCACAGGAATCATCTTTCTTGTAAGACAATAACAAACTGACTTTCTATTGTCTGCTGCACAGGAGTTGCACAATTACATATCCTGTTAAAGTTTTGTTCTAACACATTATTCAGTATGACTATAAAAAATATTCACATTCACATTGCAAATTTAGGCTTTATTTACAAGCAATTGCATCAATTTTCTCAGGTTATTCCACAAGCATATCAACAAAATCTGAGGTCAGTTGACACAAGTGGCAGCAGCAGCAAACAAAGAAGCTGCTTTGTGTTACTGCTCAGGAGACAACTCCCAGGCATCTAATTACTCAAAGGAACCTTCCCCTCAAATGATGCTACTGGAGTGAGCCCAATCACCACCGAAAGAATATCTAGTCATAGCATCCAGAATACACTTTCATCTTCAGCTCAGAGCAGAAGATATCATCTCTTTATCACTGACTCATAGGAGACAAAGTGGTCCCATATTAGAGGCTCTAAAGTTGGATCTAAACCACCAGTCAAGCATGTGATTGTGTGCATGGGTTAACAGCCTCCAGACAATGCAATTTATCATGCTACTAAAGCAAAAGAACAAAAGACCTCAAGACATTTCCAGTGCTTTTTCTTTAGTGGCACCCACTGTTACTACTCTTTTTTAATTACAGCTGTGGGCTTTTCCTGCAAAGATATGGGAACATGGAGGTGAGTATTGAGTGTAAGTTTGTAATCACAGCTGAGTCA